AAAAATTTTTCGCCTCATACATGCCACTGCTTTATTAAGTCTTTTAGCCTTATTTTTTTTGCGTTTGGAAGTTGACCCATTAAACTTGCTTTTTTGTGATATTAATTTGTCCATGTAGGTGCAAAGACGAACAATACATCCAATGTCATGTTCACCAATCTTACCTACATCTTTTGTTGGAGAGTACCATGTGAATGGTGTTCTAACCCCAGGATCAATAGAGACTGCATGAATACCATCTGCTTGTGTTTCACTGAAATGTTTTTGTATCTCATAGACCTATGTAAATTTCCACTCATTTGTTTAGCAACAATAAGTAAGCTTGCTTTCACAAGAAACCTTATGCAGAATAGGCTATTTATTATTTTTACGCTTCTTTACAAATGAAGTGACCATAACGCACACTTATTACTGTTTATTGTGATAGGCTTATGGAAATGTGAAGTGTATATTGATAGAGTGTGCAGGTAGGTGATGTAAAAATGGTTCCATATTGAAGATGAAAATTTTGGACACATATGGTAATAGTTTGTCATAAATCTTTATAAGTTCGAAATGATAAAAACTTAACAGATTCATTTTGTACTCATTGAGTATTGTGCTTAATAACCTCATTTCTAGCAGTTAATACTTCATCATTTGCTTCATCAATTATATTTACAGGAGCAACATTTAATATTCTATATAATAGCATTCTTAAATGAATGACAGCTCTAAGGTTTACTAAACGAAACTTAGAGGTTTTACAAGTCGTCTAAATGGAAAAAGGTAAAATTTAATGAAATTATAGTTTAAACGTTTTGCCAAATCTAAAATGAGTTTATATAAGCAACCTTAGACAGCTCTCAAGAATTTTCTCTCACTACTGATAGCTGAACTAATAAGTTTCTTATCCTTTACGTTATCAACATTTATTGGACGTCACTAAATAAAGAAAGTTTTTGTTGATAATTTATATGATTTATATATTTCTTTTTATTAATGCCATCTTCCTTTGCAAAATAACACCTTTTACTTCACTTTACAACAGAATTATAAGCAAATCTCGCCAATTCTATCTAACATTTCAATAATTATTTTTGAGAATAGTTGGAATACATCTTGACTAGTAATATATGATTGAAAGTTTCTTTTGAACATTTTTATTTGGTATGTGTCCTTATTGCATTAGCTTTTCTCTTTCTGCTTGTTTCACCCATTTGATATACTCATCGATGTAGAGCAGCTCTTTTTTCTTGCATTTTAACAGATGTAATGTAAAGAGAGAGATGAGATCGAAGGTAAACTGACAAAGTTAGTCATGATGGGTAATCACAATTTTTAAGACTATTTTGCGACTTGTCCATTCTAATAAGATCTTAAGTTCTGATCATTTGAGTTGATACCTGAGCTGATATCGCTAACAAGTTTATAGGTTAAAAATCAAGAGCTAAGAAGTGATTTCTGCCATTCAAAATCTTCTTTTTGCTTGATACTAAAGACTCAAGTATAGAGAAACCTTTTTTAGTGGTGGCGGTGGTAGTAGTGGTAATGTTATCAGCATTTTGAGAAGTCATCTCTGAAAGAAGAGAAGATATTTGTAAAGACAAATACTAGAAAGGGATGATATAGCAGTGATCGTGATCTTTCCTTACTTTAGCCAATGATGCAAGGTTTCTGATGAGTGGCAGATAAATATATGAGAGGAGATTTTGAATCATATGATTTTCATTGATAAGCATTACTAAGCAATTATTGCAACTGTATTACTAAGCAAAAAGTATCCAGTTTTTCTAGCTATTTGATTTTAGGTAAAGACAAATAGTTGTTGAATTATAATAAAGTTCTAAAAAATTTCTATGAATTTATTTGATACTAATGACTTGTTATTATAAATTAATAAAACTTTCTACATGGTTTACTTTAAAATAAATTATCAATTGTCTTTTTTTTTAGATTTTGGTTACCAAAATGGTAACAATTTACAGTAATATTTTTTTTTGGCGACTGCGTCATATTTTAGCGAGTAATTTTTTTTAAATAAATAAAAAATTTCAAGTTATTCTGCTCTGTATGAAGATAAATTATCTAATTGATAACAAAATATACATGGTTAAATTATTAATATGATCGAAGAGAAAGTGCAATTTTTAATATACAATGTTAAATATGAAATGCTTTTGGGAAGGGTTCTTTTTTCCTTTTATAATGAAATGCAATATAATACAAATGATGTGATGAAATGATTAGTTCTTTAAAAATTGTTCATTTTTCGGTTATTATTTCGAAAGTATCATCAGAATCCTCGCTAAATTGATCACGTAATGGAGTCAATTGTTCATCCAAAGTAATATTAGAAACACCTTGGTTCAGAAAACCAATCCCACTCCGATGAAATTTCTTTCTCGGAGAAGTAGCCGTCAAGGAAGAATCAGACCTTTCATTATAATGTTGTAATCCAAAGTTAAAAACCCTCGGCAAACTGCTCCAACGTCTAACGCATCGCTTGTAATGTTCATTTTGTCGATTTCTTGCGATTGCGTCTCTCACCTGAACTATATTTTCTAATTCGTTGTGACGTGCATCGTTATGATCATAACGTATCTTTGTTAACTTTAATATTTCAAGGTAATAGGGATCGATATAATAGTCTTTTAGCAAGCATTCGAGAACTTGTAATCGATCACCTAAACTTGTTCCCTTAGGTCGATCATTTATATTCTCTCCAAGTGGTATACCAGCGGCGGACACATAACTCGCGGCTAAATGTTTTTTGAAACTTCTGCGACACGGCCAACATCTAAACACCACCTTTTGGAACATTCCCCAAGGTTCCACTTTTGACATTCCAAATAAAAAGATGTAAATGCCCGTGATGGCCCCATAAAACCCACCAAGCCTTGATACTATGGAAATGGGCTGGTATTGGTAATCTTCCATTTCTTCACGGGTATAGCGTTTCTCTGGAATGAATACAAATTGAGTTTTCGGCAGACCATTAGAAGTAGGTCGTCTTAATGGTATGGATTTTTGGTTAACCGAAACCTCAACTGAAGTATTATCCGGTCGTGAACTCAATTGACCCATTAAAATTGTACTAAAGTACCGGTGAACTAGTATGGAAAATTCTATTATCGTCCTTTTGCCCGTGGCTATGGTTTGCATGTGATATTGAAAAAAATTACCACTATCTTTTTCCGCCGAATAATTTTTCTCGGTACCATTATATTGATCCAAATATATCGTATAAAATAATGGTATCTCAATAGGTGTTAATCCATCATTTGGTATGATATTAAAAAAAACAAAGGGCTTGATCGTTTCCCTTTCCCTTAATATACTATCCGCGTATTCTTCACGTTCATCATTGTTATTTTCTGCTTTATCAGGTCGAAATTTAAAACATCCATTACTACTTTTCTGAATAAATTTATTGCATATTGAATCCGTAAAGTCTACATTCTCATTTAATAATTTTGGTTCTATATCTTTGGATTTACCGCAAGTGATGGAAAATGGTGGTTCGGTTGCTTCTACCGTTGGTTCTAGAAACGTTGGGATGTTAGATTCGGGGCATATGACGAATCCTATAAAAACATCAATAAAGTTAACATGTGCCGACGTTCAAAAATTAAGATGAAAAAACATAAAGTTATTTACCTGGGAAAGAAACATTCGTCTTGGGTTCTATCACGACTATGTTCGCCGTATTAATGAACATTGTAAAATTCGTAAGCTGATAACTTCCGTACGCACCTACTACTATCAATAAAGTTATGGCGAATATTCTTCTAATTAAGCGAAACCACCAGGGTTCTGTTCTGAAATTAAGGCATAATGCATCTTTCGCGAACATTCTCTTTTCTTTTTAAAAAAAAAACAAAAAATTTATAGAGGGAAGAAATATGATTGAATGAGTGAAATTTTTTTTTAAAAAGAAACGAAATGCTCTATTCTACCTAAAATGTTAAAATATACATGCGACCAGCGCCGAAATTAAATCATCTATGTAAAGAAAAAAAATAATAATACAAGAAATCAAGCAAAAGAAGGAAAAAAAGTATTAATTGTAAACATCAAGAAAAGGAAAAAATAAAAAATAAAAAAAATAAAAAAAAAACCCCCCAAATGAATAAAAGCTAATCAGTCCAATATTTTACATTTTATATGCAGAAATTGCCTTTGTTTCATTTTTTTTTTGTTCTTTCTTAAACATACCATGGATTTCCATATTACGTGTAACAAACAAAATTTTTTGTTCCTTTGTGTTGCTAATCAATTAATTGGTCCCCTTTGTTAAGTTGAAGCCAAGTTTCAATCTTTTTGGTTATTTACATTACACACGATTCCTTTTCTTTATAACAAGTAAATAACCTAACGTTACAGGTGAAGTCCAAGTGGGTGGGATTTGGTTTCATTCTTAACCTGATCCATCCCAATGTTGCACAAATGAGTTATTAATAAACCTCTTTGAAAGAAATAGTATGAACTTTATAATTATCGGTTCGAGCTAGCAACATTCATTTCACAATCGGTTGTTTATGACAAACATCCAGTTTTTTAAATTTTGGTCCTAGCGATGACTTTGATAAATCTGCAAATTTAACCATAATTAAAAAAATGTTTAATAGGATTTTCCATTTGAAAAATTTGAAATCAAAATTTTGCAATACCTTGAATCTCATATATTAAACCCATAAATGCGCTTTTTTACGATTTTAAGAAATAAATGGTGGTGTTAAATATTACACTTTTATAATGATTGGAACTTTTTGAAATGTTCCTGATCGGCTTGTTGAACAAAACAAAGTGGCAAAATGGTTTAACTTCAGCATGCATACAAATTTGTTTGACAATCTTTTTATAGGGAACCAATTACGAAATCGGATGATTTTAAACATGAAAAACACATCGGTTTTTTAACAAGTAAATGTTTTGTAATCGATATGCTTATGTTCGTGTATTTTTTTTTATCGAGTTTGATTCAAATTTTTTTTTTACTTTACTTTCATTCCTCATAAAATAAATTCATCAGTGAACTGGTGAATAAAAAAGGCTAATCACTTACTGTATATCGTCCCGACTATTTCAAATTTCATTAATTATAAGTAACACACATGTTAAAAAAAATTGCTATAAATAAATTTTATTAATAACTTTTTCATGAAACCTTTTGGTAATTATTTACTTTAAATAAATATTCTAATTAAATAAAGAATTATCATAAGAAAAACCAGCAAAAAAAAAAACCATCAATAGAACTGTCAATTTTAGGACCGTTTAGGACCGGCTCAAGCATCCCTAGAATGAACCAAAATTTATTCCAATTGGTTACATGCTTGAAACCCAAGTGTATTGGAATACGTTAAAAGCGGCGGAAATCACAAGATGAAGAACTTATTTGAAACCTTTTCATCTTTAAGCCAAGATTTTCTTCCCACAATTTTATAATGATTTGAAAACAGTGGCCGCAGAAAGTTGAAGTTTTGTTTTCTCATGTCTATATTTTAAATAAAAGAAAAATATTTTTGATAAATAAAGCTATTTTTTTTTTTATTAAAAATATATATATATATTTGCTTATAAAAACATATAACCTTTGCTTATTTATCTCCCTAACATGAGTATCTGCACTTTTTGCAAAGCGCGGAGCGAAGATGAGTTCAAAAAAAATGTCGAACCGTTACTTACCCAACTCTCTGTAATGGACGTTTTATATTTTCCAGATAAACGAAACACTTTTTCCCTTTATTTATGAGACGAATCAGGTTCTGGGAATTTTGGGCCAGTTTAGTCTAAGCTTTTTAGATCAGGCGTACTAACATCCCGGTGACCGTAAAAGGTTTACGCCTAAATTCCTTAATCGTGCTTTAAAAAAAAATAAATTTTCTCAATCGTATTTCGCAATAATTTCATCTTAGGATCTACAAATAATTATCCGCATATTTAAAGTTTCAATTAAACGACAACAAAGGCTACAAAACACTATCACGATGCAAAAAGTAAGCACGGGATCAACTCAAAAAAGAATTATGCGAAAAGAGGATTGCACTAAAGTATGTTTGGTATTACGAAGACCCATATGTATGTAGTTATTCCTGGATATCTTCGAGGATTGGGTCTTATTGAGTAAACTTAAAACTTTAAATGCTCTTGCAATTTTTTGATCATTACATACACATTTTAAACCCCGACACCACATTAGAAAATTATGAGCCCCGAAGTTTATTTAATTTACATATACTGCCAGACCACTTATTCGAATTTTTTGCTGATTATATTTAGTTATAGAAATTCTCATTTAAAGAAAGAAAAACATTCATGCAGTGGGATACCACATGTAATATGATGTGGTATCCCACTTATCCTAGATTATAGTATCGCATATAATCTAAATATCGCATATAATCTAAATATCACATATAATCTGAATATCACATATAATCTGAATATCGCATATAATCTAAATAACACATAAAATCTGAAAACCACATATAATCTAATTTTGAGTAAGTTGTTATCTGTTACTGCTAGACTGTTACCTAGTTATGAGTAAGTTTATATAATTACTGCTTGACTGTTACCTTGTTACCGTCACTAAATTCTATAATGGAGTTGTTGACCCTCTGTAGCTGTTTCGATATCTGGTTTTTTGTTGAGGATGCTGGCCTCCTGCGCCTGATTGGATGCTGGATTCTATGTTAGAGTGCTTTCCCTTTACGCCTATTTGGTTGCCTTTCTAGATCCTAAAATGTGGTAAAAAAATATCATGTCGGGTGACGCAATAAATTTGTGATTAATTTTGGCTGATCTTTTAGGCATGTGATTTGAGGATCCAGCTTGGCATCATGATGATATCTTGATAATGTCCTGAAACTATCATAGAACTGGCAGGGAACCAGAGTATTTCTATTAGTTCGCCAGTTTCAGGCCAGCTTGGATACCTACCTAAAGATCTGACCGGTCCATTTGATTGCCAGAAGTGTACCATTTCGTAATTCAACTATTACACCAGTATAAGTATGCCATTTTCGCATCCTGAAGTTTAAATTATTATCACGTGATTCAAAAGCTGTGAACACTGTTCACTGTTTTTCTGAAAATTCAATACATAATTTTATGAGATGTTGTTAGACAATTATTACAAAACGAGTAAGTATAATATTTATCTTATTCATCTTATAAAGTATATTAATATTCCATAAGTGTTTCTATCATATTTTTATCTTATCTTAATCGAATATAGAGTAAATATCAGGCATAGTAATATTCATATGAGTATTATATGTAAAAAAGTTCAATTCATGTAACTTTCAAGAGATCATATTTGACCTATTTGATTACTGGGATAAAGTGATTTGAAATATATAATTTGAAAGATCGAAGCTGATATCATTTTACAGCCTAACTATTGCCTATTTGTTGCCAGTATGTGTATGCCAATTTCGCATTCTGAAGTTAGAGATATAATATGTATTATCTTAGTCTAAATCCTTTTGGTTACCAGAAGTATACTATTTTGCAACCCAACTATTGCCTATTGTTACCAGTATAATTATATTAATTTTGCGTCCCAAAGTTTGAATTATTAGAGTACATTTATATTATATTTCCGGTATGTTTTTGACATATTTCTAGATATATTAAGGTGTGAAATAGGGCAGATTTTTTGTTTCTATTAATTTAGCTAAAATAATTTCATAGGAACATTTATAGGAACACATTTGTATATCGCCTTTGCTTTTTTGAGTTGATTGATTGCATTATTTGATATCTGTTCCTATGTTCCTATCAGTTCCTATGAAAAATAAAACTTCTAGGAAAAATTTCAATTTTTTTCTATAGTATATATATGGTATATGTATGGTATACATATAGTATATATATGGTATATATATAGTGTGTAATAAAAAAAATAAAGTAAAGAAATTTGATTTTTTATAGGAACTGATAGGAATATAGGAATACCCTTTCTAAAATTAATCCGAAATATTTTCTACTACTAAGGTATTATACAAATGAGTTTTTATGAGTGTTCTTATAGTGTTTCCAAGAATTTTGATAAGAATATTGATCTAACTAGGACTGTTTACCTCTATATTATCTCTCTCAATCAACTTAGTCAGCTCTGCCAGCTTTTTTGATGGTACTCTTCTTTTGCCTTATGTTTCTTTGCATATAAATTACAAAATTCACATACATCTAGCTTAGCCAATTCAGTTAGCTTTTTCTAATAGTAGTATTTTTTCGCTCTAAGTTTTTTTGCATGTGGATTGCAAAAACCATATTCGCCTCTAGTTCTTTTAATACACTCAGATTATTTACAAGGAACTTGTCTAAAATCCCTATAAACTTTACATCCATTTGAATGATAACATCTCTGATTATACACTTCTTCAGTCCTAAGAATGTATAAACAGAAATAAAATTTTCAGTTGGTATTTTCTTCTTTCAGTCCCATTTATGTATATTGATTAATAATCTCAGAAATTAATTTTATTTTAAACTTTTTTCTTGCGAATATTATATCTTGAATTTTGGTATAATTATAAATCTTTCAAAAATGATCTAATCCAAGCTTTCAGAATTTTCTGATATCCGTCCTTTTTCACTCAAAAGCTGAAAAAGATAAAATAATAGGCCAGATGATCAGATATTCCAGTAAGAATTACTTAGTAAACCTCCCAACTCGTGATAATTTAGTTCTTAGAAATTATAAGGATCGATTTCAATTCTTAATGACAAAATAACAAACCATTGAGATATTTCATTCATGCTAGTTGATATAGAAGAAGCTAAAGAATATATTAATAATATTTCAATTATATTCTTTGCCTTTATGGATACCTTATTAAT